CCTAAAAAAGATACAATTTAATGACACACATTAAGATTGAAAATTTACATAAATTACGGTCGTTTGCAAATAAATATCTGGGTATATTTTTTTTATTTTTTTAAGTAAAGTAGGGTGTTTAATATTTAAAAAATGTGGCAATCAAATTTTAGCAGAGAAAAACCATTGCTTTCAACAAGGAACGTCGATTTTAAACCAATCCTTACCCTGCCACCACGACATTTGAACGTTTCCATCGAGATTTTTAACAAAGTAATCGTTATTCAGAGCAGTGGAGTATGCGGATTCACAGTTTCGGTTGATGAAAGGATGTATCCACAAAGTGACGCGGAAGCCCTTGTCATTCAATAGCTTCGTAAGAGCACTGACATCGGGAAACTTGACGGGATCAAACTCGGCGGAACCGTAACAGGTCTCCCAATTATCGTCTATCTCGATCTGACTATTCTTGAATCCATGGGCGACGATTTCGTCCGCGTAGGTCTCTACCACTTTCGCGGTGATATTGGTCTTGTATCTAGCCCATGTAGACCATATAGGATATCGAACCATCAGGCTGTCGGGGCGACCCGTCGGTTTACCCAAATGCTTTTCTATTGCGTATTGATGAGCAGTTTTCGGATCCGGAAAAATACCTATTGTGTACGTGACATTGATGATGTCACGATGTTGATAGGGCGCTTTGTTCTTGATGATCATGCATAAGTACTTATCTCGATAATTGTTCTGATCGAGGAATAGTGGGATTGCATAGTCCACGTAAATGTAAACCCCTTTGCTGGACAGCCAATAACGCTCTGCTAATGCCATGTTTGAAGGGTGCGTAGGCAAATATGCTACTTCCTCATAGTGCATATTCTGTATAGGCCAGTACTGATGGCGAAACTGCGGCCCGCCGAACCATTGCGAGTCATCACTAAGTTGGAAACAATCAAAGAGTTCGCCATTAGGATCGTAGAGTGTACGAGTGATAATGATGGTTTGATGATCGGGACTCTTGTTGATTGAAGTGCCTATAGATCGATTACTCTTCGCGAAGAAGATATTAACCATCTCTGTGCCATCTAAAATAAATATTATATTTATCAATACAGCTTCTTCATTAAAACGTATAAAATTCATTTTGATTTTGCGGAGATATTAAATAACGCGAAGAAATATTGAAGCTTACGAAAATACACTCAAATTCATAATATTAAATTATATTCAATTTGGATTATTTTTGATCATTTTTATAGGTCACTACTATTCTTACTCAATATATCCTATTAATTTAACTAAAATAATGGAGTTAAACTATTTAATTCAAGAAAATGTATTAAATGCAGCTCTAATTATTTCATTATTTACTAAAGTCTATATGTTAATACAGACGTTATTTATCATGAAACTGACCATAGAAATGGATTGAATTACATTTTAACACATGTGGAAGTTAAAAATTGAAAAAATATTTAATTTAGGAGATTGGGTTACATTGTTCCTTTGATATAACAGTGTAATTGAAGTGACAGAAAAGCTAGCGCGCGTGTATATATATATATGTATATATGTATATAAAACATATTTGTAATATTAAATCTTATAAGGGATATGTGAGAAACACAGCCTACAGAATTAGATGCCTTAAACGGTCTAGCTGGATCCTAAGTGCTTGTATGAAATTAATAGAAATTGGTCATTTAACTAACATGAAGAACATAAGAAATATAAATTATATTATAACTCACCACTTTTCCTAAGGTTGATAATCATCATATTAGGACCCCTTTCGTCTTCTGCTACATCAAGAATACCATTTTGAACAACAAACTGAAACCCTTTGGCAGCAGTGAGGAATATCAGTATTATTAATAAACGCATTTCTAAAATAAATACAATTACATTAATTAAATAATCTTTATTTTCGTATATACAACACAGATGTGTTAATTAAAGAAAACGTCACAAAAACGTTTAGAAAAGATAAATATGTATAAGATGCAGATACATCGTCTATTTTCATTTGTTATTTGATCTCGATTCAAGAAAATTGTGCACTTACGGTTCCATTCCAACCGTTGCATTTTGCATTATAGTACTCTTGACGACTAAGCGGCTCTGATTTATGTCAACTTATAAATACTCGGACAACTATACATTCTGCTGATATTGTTATATCAATATAAAAAACATTAATCACGTTCGTTAAACTAAAAATCCGATATCAAATCATAAATAACGTATCTAATGTTTTCTATTATATGTTGCTATTAGAAATTTGATATTACGTATTAGTTTGATATCTGATTTCTAATTGTCTATATGTTTACAAGACTTTTTATATATTGTTTCATATAGTGTTTATTCAGTTTTTCAGCTATTAAAATTTTTATACCCATCCATGCTCTATTGAAACCCACAAAATATTTTTTTTTTTTTTGCGATAGTCCATAATTATTTCAATACATTTGCACAATAAAAATCGTACTCAATCTTTTCATTCTCAATTATTTAATAATTATAAAAAAAACATTTGTTCGTACTTTAGTGTATTTTTGTGCGTAACAAACAATTTCTAAAAATCTTTTAATATACTGAAAACATTCAGGAATTTTTGTGTGTATTAATTTTAATAAGAACGAATAATTTTTATTGCAAAATTATTATGCATAATAAAAACATTTCTTTTTGATTTTTAAAAATTCAATCAAAATATTTCAAAGCTATATTTTTACATGGTCTTATTGTATTTAATGAAATTCTTATCATCAAACCGAAATGGTAATAACTGAAAACTTTTTTTCCTTATTTGACCGATAAGTTTCAAAATACGTATATCATATGTACTATTATATATGCTATTTATACAATCTAATTTTTGCATTTACCTATGTAAGGCATTTCTTATTTACAGATATAAAAATATAGACGGCAAAATAATATTTTATTTCTTAATTTAAAGTACGTAGCTATATGGCTACATTGAAAACAAAAAGATAAATAAAATATTTATGGAAAAAATATTTATGGCAAAAAAAAGATACGCTGCTATTTTCTTGCTTGCAGGTTTTATAATGGAAGATAGAAAGTTTTGTTTATTGTATATATATGTAATAATTTTTTTATTGCCACCTCTTTTGTTTTAATAAAATTATTAATATGCAGATGTATTACATCTACAAGTTGACGAACTTTCAATATAATTTTCGAGTATTATTCGTGTTTATTCGTAATTTCCTTAATTTTAATATTATAATTTCACATAAATGTAACGTATGAGTGTTTAGAGTATTTCAGAACAGAAGAAATCGAATTTGAATTAAGATCAACGGAAATAAATGAAAATCAAGACATCGAATTACATTGAATTACACTGCTTTTACGTTCCTGTTATAACTTAAAATATACGAAGAATATTGTCAAGTCTAAATCTTAGAGAATGCCTGATAATATTTTTAAATGTAAGATTTTAAATACATTTTTCAATTATATCTGTTATATGAATTGCGCGTTGATTACAGTTGAAATGCAATCATAAATTAAAGGTGAAATAATATCAATGAAATGATCATTGATTTAATAAAAATGTTACTAATATCTTAAAAACTGGTATAAAATTTATTGCGAAAAATATTACTCTAACCAGAATTCGAATCTCCCGACTATCCGGGGTGGTGTCTTTTCTAATTCAATCACTGAGGTGTGTAATCATGTACATCACAATAACTAGTATTTAAGGAACAAAGATATTGAATATCAGAAAGATAATCTAGATATATATGTGTATGTACACATATATATATATATATTTACAAGTTTTTAAGTTATTAGTAGCATCATTATCAAATCAACGATCAATTTAATTCTGATATTATTTCAGCTTCAATTTATGATTATGGAGTATAGTTTATATAATTGAAAGATGTATTTAGAATTTACATACAAAAATATTATTAGGTACTAAGATCTAGTCTGGCATTATTCTACAAAGCGGTCTAGATTACTTAATTATTGACGAAAAATATTACTTATTATAAATTACATAAGATAACACCCGCTACATATACATACACGCGCGCGCACGCGAACACATTTTCAAATAAAAACAGTAAATATCTCGTACGATTGCAATTAAATTGATGTATTTAATGTATTTAATAATAAATTTTATCAATAACATTATCAATTGCGAATATCAGATTTTTAATACGAGCTATTATCTATCCATTTGTTATCTATAAAAGTATGTCCAACCAATGTGTGTTAAATGTGTAACATTTGTGAAACATAAAAAAACGAGTTCAATCATAAGAAAATAGAAGGAATTAGGGTAATATTAATTATCGTTTTTATAATTTAAATAAGATAGCATTTAGAATAATATGTATCTTATTATTTTATTTTAATGAAGAAATTTATTGCGATTCAACATTCATTAATTTACTCCATTTTGATGTGATATTTTATTATCCAGATTATTCCGGTAGATAGTGTGACTAGTACTCGACAATAAAGAAAAAAAAATTCGTCGATCTCATATAAAACTATATTGACATACTTATAACATTTTTCATTGGCAGAACTAGTGCGTACTCAGTGCACTTTAAAGCCGTTGTACAAAAATCGGCATTTAGATATAACGTTTAATAAAAATATAGAAACGAATTAAACCGCGAAATATTCAATACATTTTATTGTGCTATTTGATAAAATACACATTGGGCATTTTATCATTTGAAATATCTTACTTTTACATTTAGATTAGAATAGCGTACAACAGCTTTAATGTGCACTAAGTGCGCACTAGTTCTGCCAATGAAAAACGCTATTACATATGACCATTATTTAATTCGATAATTAGTTTTGTCATAGAATTAAAAGCATAGAAGTTTACTACTAATCTTCCTGCTAATATCATAACGAATATAAGTGAGCATTACATTTTTACAATTCTTTAACATAATATTTCGGTAGTCTCTTTGTAAAAAATATTTGTTTACTATATGTACAGATTCACAAATCTCGAGATTCTCGTGCTTTGAACATACCTATGTAATCGACTCTGATGTCAAGGAAAACTTTTTTTTATTCGGAATATCAATCGTGCGTATAATACCTCTCCCCAGAATGTAAAAATCCTCGATCATTGTCGAAATGTTTAAGATGAGTTTACCATCAGCATCGAGTTTTCTACAATTGGCTTCCGACACTTTGAAATCTTTACGCTCGAGGACAGTAGGTTTCAACAGAACTCCGATCACCGTTCCACCATAAGTATCATGGAAAAACAATGCGTAATCCCCATAACCATCCTGAAAACGAAAAAGAAACGAACATATAGAATACAGAGCGCTTCAAACTATTTAGATTATTTAATATTTAAATCATGTGACACATTAATTTTTTTCTGGAGTACACAGTGTTCATCAATATAATTCAATAAAATTAAGTTATTTTTAATTGTTAACAGTTTAAATAAATTATTAGGGGTACACTTACTCTTAAATCTTTTAAGAAACGTTGTATAGGATTGAAGTCCACGACTGGAATTTTTTATGAGAATGAGTCTTATATGGATGTAAATCTACAATTTTTGCTTTGCTGGGTGCATCGACTGCTTGCAGCCTTTTAGGAACCATACGTGACTTTAAATGCAGCAAACAATCATATTCCAAGAGCGGAGGACGGAATATAGGTTTTACATCTAGGACTGTATTATTGAACAATAAATCATCGAATAATTTCAGTGATTCCTTCGCGAATACACTCATACGATTTAAAACCAAATGCGATGGAGCTTTTCTAGTGCACAAGGTTTTCTGCTGATCGTAAGGAGTAGATATGAATAATATTGAGATGGTAGAGAACTGAGAGCTATATTAAATAATGTTTCTACGGCGCCAATTTCTTCATCTGTAAAATATAACATCATATATTGATACATTCTTTTACATAATAAGGTCAGAAGCGATAATACATAGTTTAAAATAAATATTTTCCGCTCGTTATCTTCTTTATATATCCTTACAGAAATCTAATTTAATAAAAAGTCGTGATTATTTATTATTGATATTAAAAATAATGAAAAATGCTTTTAATATATAAAATAAATATTTATCTTCCTATATACAATCATTACATCATTCCTAATTATTACATAAATCATTACCTTCTAATTAAATTTCTGTAATGATATCTGGATAAAATCAATTTCGATTAAGCCGAAACAATCCCCTACGAAAGAAACTTACAATCAAATATTTATGACAGCTGATGACATTTGTTACGACATTCCCTCGTTGACGGTAAATCAAAAGAATACAATGAGCGATTTCAAGCACTGAAGAAGGAACGTGACTTTAAGGACATTAATGGAAATTACACGGATGATGACATAGTGATTCAAAAACTTAACGCAGAGATTCGATCCTTACTGACAAGTAGATAGCGAATTTATTTTCTGCTTGTTTTCTCTGATTAACATTCGATTTTCATATAAGAAGAGGAAGGTATGTAATCTCGGAAACAAAATATATGACATGTTACAAGATAATTTATATATATTTATACAAATAAATATTTTAAATATTTTACTGAAAATTTCTTAATTCTTTATGTTGATAATCTCTTGAAGTAAGGAAGTACTTCTAAAGGAGCATAATAATCTTCCATCCATCTCGGTCCTTCATAAGTGGTTCCTCGATTCATATCAATCCATGTTCCGTTAGGTAAGTAGATATTACGATTTACGGCACCCTCTTCAATTATCGGAGCAACCAATATAGATTCACCAAGGAGATATTCTGTAATTCATTTAAGCAGCAACATTCAATCATTAATTATTTATAGCTTACGACCAAGCTTTCTGGATTTGTCATGAACACTTATTTTTGAATAAGATTGATTGTTTAAATGTTTGGCAAATTTGAAATGTAATTTTATATATTCTTACGAACTGACCGTCATCAATCTTGTGGGCAACTGAATTGAGCGGATCAATCCACCAAATGGGTGGATTTACAGGAGTGCCTTTTTCAACAGCCTGCTGCATGGCATTTACAATTTCTGTCGTGTAATTCTCGTGCAATTCGGTATATATTCTGCAGATGTTGATAATCTGGTAAAATACAGATGGATATTATTTCTTCGCGATATTATGATTTATGAAAGAAATTAAATTCGTTAACTTATCGTACAGCAATCCATTCATCTCGGCTAGGATTATCCATATTACTCACTTCTTCATCGAAATCCCATGGCACAAAAGAATACTGCATCGATGGCATAAAGACAGTGGCCTGTAACCATCTGACGAATAACTCTCTAGATGGACGTTCCGTTCCATCGAGAGAACCGTTGAGATAGCCGTTGCCGCCGATCATGTCCGGCAGCACATAAACGTATCCGTTGAGATTCATCTGCAATAGCGTCGTGATCAGCGTGGGTAGACCATTGTCCCACGTCCACCTGCTGTCCTTGTCGATCATGCGAACAAATGTCGGTAAATCCTGAGTGCGCCATCCCACCCGCACTTCAATGTTACGGGGAAAGTTGGATGTGAGTTTGCGGACGTATGCTTCGGTGAATATACTTGGTTGCAACTCAGATGGACCGGTCAACTTCGGCACTTGTGGTAACCAAGACACCTCGCCGGCATCGAACTTAAAGCTGTTGATGCCTAAACCTTGAAGACGCCACACGCGTTCCGTCCACCAATTCACAGCATCCGCATTCGTAAAGTCAATCGTGGCGGCATCTGAACCTAAAAAATATATGATTGAATGACATTAAAAGATTGAAAATTAACATAAATTACGATCCTTTACAAATAAATATCTCGGCAGGGTTGGGTAGTGCTAAGTTAAAAAGATAAAAGTTAAGTTAAAAAGTTAATTAATTTTAACTTAGTTACATTTTAGACTTTTAACTTTTTAACTTAATTTAGTTACATTTTATCAGTAACTATTAACTTTTAATATGATTTTTTTTAAGTCAATCCTCAGACACAATGCGAGAGAATAATGAGTATATAATTTAATAATTTTATATTGTGTAATCGTTACTTGAACAAAAATAACCAGATTCTTTAATAACATGATGCGAGAAAAGAAAAAAACGAAAAATTATATAAAATGGTCAAACTTTTTCTTTTTCTTTTTTTTTTGGTTGTTCGTTCGGACCAAATTTAACATTTCACTTTTCAATTACTTTTTTTTATTAACTTAACTTTTAATTCAATTAATTTCATTATGGATTAACTTATATTTTAATTAAGTTAAATTTTCAAAGCTATTAACTTTAACTTAACTTGGTTACAAAAAAAGTTAACTTACCCAATCCTTTATCTAGGTATATTTTTTTATTTCTTTAAGTGCAGGGTGTTTAATAATTAAAAAACGTAGCAATTAAATTTTAGCAGAAAAGAAACATTATTTTCAACAAGAAACGTTGATTTTAAACCAATCCTTACCCTGCCACCACGACATTTGAACGTTTCCATCGAGATTTTTAACAAAGTAATCGTTATTCAGAGCAGTGGAGTATGCGGATTCACAGTTTCGGTTGATGAAAGGATGTATCCACAAAGTGACGCGGAAGCCCTTGTCATTCAATAGCTTCGTAAGAGCACTGACATCGGGAAACTTGACGGGATCAAACTCGGCGGAACCGTAACAGGTCTCCCAATTATCGTCTATCTCGATCTGACTATTCTTGAATCCATGGGCGACGATTTCGTCCGCGTAGGTCTCTACCACTTTCGCGGTGATATTGGTCTTGTATCTGGCCCAGGTAGACCATATAGGATATTGAACCATCAGACTGTCGGGAAGAACCGTCGGCTTACCCAAATGGTTTTTTACTGCATATTGATGAGCAGTTGTCGGATCCGGAAAAACACCTATTGTGTACGTGACGTTGATGATGTCACGATGTTGATAGGGCGCTTTGTTCTTGGTGATCATGCATAAATACTTATCTCGATAATTGTTCTGATCGAGAAATAGCGGGCTTGCATAGTCCACGTAAATGTAAATCCCTTTGCTGGATAGCCAATAACGCTCGGCTATTGCCATGTTTGAAGGGTGCGTAGGCAAGTACGCCTCTTCCTCATAGCACATATTCTGTATAGGCCAGTACTGATGGCGAAACTCTGGCCCTCCGAACCATTGCGTGTCATCACTAAGTTGGAAACAATCAAGGAGTTCGCCATTAGGATCGTAGACTGTACGAGTGATAACGATGGTTTGATCATCGGGATTCTTGTTGATTGAAGTGTCTACAAATTGATTAGTCTTCGCGAGGAAGATATTAGACATGTTCGTGCCATCTGAAATAAATATTATTTTTGTCAATACAGCTTCTTCATTAAAACGTAGAAAATTATATAGAATTAGATATCTTAAACGGTTTAGCTGGATCCTAAGTGCTTGTATGAAATTAATAGAAATTGATCATTTAACTAACCTGAAGAACTTAAGAAATATAAATTATATTATAACTCACCACTTTTCGTGAGCTTGCTAATAATCATATTAGGATCCTCTCCATCTTCTGCTACATCAAGAATACCATTTTGAACAACAAACTGAAATCCTTTGGCAACAGTGAGGAATATCAGTATTATTAATAAACGCATTTCTAAAATAAATACAATTATATTAATTAAATAATTTTTATTTTTTTACATATAACGAAGGTGTTATTTAAGAAACGTCGCAAAAGCGTTTAGGAAAGATGAATATGTATAAGGTGCAGACACATCGTCTGTATTTTCGTCTGTTATTTGATCTCGATCCAAGAAAATTGTGTACTTACCGCTCCGTTCCAACGGTTGCATTTTGCACTATAGTACTCTTGACAACTAAGCGGCTCCGGTTTACGTCGACTTATAAATACTCGCACTACTACAATCTGCTGATATGGTTATATCAATATAAAAAACATTAATCGCGTTCATTAAACTAAAGCGTAATTTTCTATGATATTGTGCTATTAGAAATATGATATCACGTAGTCGTTTGATATCTCATTTCTAATTATCAATATGTTTGCAAGACTTTTCATGTATTGTTTCATATATTGTTTATTTAGTTTTTCAGATATTAAAATTTTTATACCCATCCATGCTTGAATAAAACGCACGAAATGTTTTTTTTTTGTTGCGATAGTCCATAATTACTTCAATACGTTTGGACAATAAAAATCGTACTTAATCTTTTCGTTTCCAATTATTTAATAGCTATAAAAAAAATATTTGTTTGTACTTTTGTGCACCTTTGTGCGTAATAAATAAACAGTTTATAAAAATATTATATACTGAAAACATTCACGGATCTTTGTGTGTATTAATTTTAATAAGAACGAATAATTTTTATTGCAAAATTATTATACATAATAAAAACATTTTTTTTTATTTTTAAAAATTCAACTAAAATATTTCAAAGCTATATTTTTACATGGCCTTACTGCATTTAATGAAATTCTTATCATCAAACCGAAATGGTAATAACTGAAAACTTTTTTTTTCTTATTTTTCCGATAAGTTTCAAAATATCATATGTGCTATCATACAAACTGTTATTTATACAAATTAATTTTTGCATTTACCTATGTAAGGCATTTATTATTCAATATTGCTTATTCATAGACATGAAAATATACACGGCAAAATATTTTATTTCTTAATTTAAAATACGTAGCTATATGGCTACAGTGGAAACAAAAAGATAAATAAAATATTTATAAACAAAAAAAAGAATATGCTGCTATTTTCTTGTTTGCAGGATTTGGATAATGGAAGATAGAAAGTTTTGTTTATTATATATGTTTATAATAATTACTTTATTGCCACTTCTTTTCTTTCAATAAAATTAATTATCTTAATATAATTTTTCAGACAAATCTGTTTTAATATGCAGATGCATTACATCTCCAAGTTGACGATTTCAATATAATTTTCAAATATTATTCGCATTTACTCGTAATTCCTTTACTTTTAATATTGTAATTCCATATAAATGTAACGTATAAGTGTTTAAAATATTCCAGAACAAAAGAAATCGAATTTAAATTAAGATCAAAGGAAATAAAGGAAATCAAGACATCGAATTACATTAAATTAAACTGCTTTTATGTTCTTGTTATAATTTAAAATATACAAAGAATATTGTCAGGTCTAGATCTCAGAGAATGGCTAATAATATTTTTAAATGTAGATATTAAATACATTTTTCAATTATATCTGCTATACGAATTGCGCGCCGATTACTGTTGAAATATAATCATAAATTGAAGATGAAATAATATGAATGAAATTGATCATTGATTTAATAAAAATGTTACTAATATCTTAAAAACTTATAAAAAATTTATTGCGAAAAATATTACTCCAGTCAGATTTCAAATCTCTCAACTATCCGAAGTCTTTTCCAATTCAATCACTGAAGTGGGTGATTATACATGTGGCAATAATTAGTATATAAAGAACAAACGTATTGAAAGACCGACGTATATAAACAATAAGATATCAGAATGATAATCTAGATATGTGTATGTATATATACGAGTATATATTGTTTACAAGTTTTTAAGTTATTAGTAGCAAATCATTATCAAATCGACGATTTTAATTTTATTTCAGCTTCAATTTAAGATTATACAGAGTACAGTTTATATAAATGAAGGATGTATTTAGAATTTACATACAAAAATATTATTAGGTACTAAGATCTAGTCTGGATTTATTCTACGTATAGCGGTTTAGATTACTTTATTATTGACGAAAAATATTACTTATTATAAATTAAAAGATAATAGCCGCTACATATACATACACGCGCGTGCGCGAACACATTTTCAAATAAAAAAAATAAAGATCTCATACAATTGCAATTAAATTGATGTATTTAATGTATTTAATGATAAATTTTATCAATAACATTATCATTTGCGAACATCAGATTTTTAATAAGAGCTATTATCTATCTATTTATTATCTACAAAAGTATGTCCAATCAATGTGTGTTAAATGTGTGTAACATTTGTGAAACGTAAAAGAAAACGAGTTCAATCATAAGAAAATAGAAGGAATTAAGGTAATATTGATTATCGGTTTTTATAATTTAAATAAAATAACATTTAAAATAATATGTATCTTATTATTTTATTTTAATAAAGAAATTTATTGCGATTCAACATTCATTAATTTACTCCATTTTGATTTAATACTTAAAGTAAAAAATGTAGTTCAGGTTTATTTAGGTTTTTAGAATATATGACAAACAATGTTGCTTGACATGTGGCGAGATTCAACCTTGAGAAAAATATACTTGTTTTATGAGGTGTGATTATTCCGGTAGGTCATGTGATTACTCGACAATAAAGAAAAAAAAATCGTCAAGCTCATACAAAACTATACTGACATGCTTATATACAATGACCATTATTTAATTCGACAATTAGTTTTTTTATACTATAACTATAAATGCAAGAAAGTTAATTACTAATCTTCCTGCTAATGTCGTAACAAATATAAGTGAGCATTATATTTTTACAATTCTTTAACATAATATTTCGGTAGTCTCTTTGTAAAAAAATATTTGTTTACTATATGTACAGATTCACAAATCTCGAGATTCTCGTGCTTTGAACATACCTATGTAATCGACTCTGATGTCAAGGAAAACTTTTTTTTATTCGGAATATCAATCGTGCGTATAATACCTCTCCCCAGAATGTAAAAATCCTCGATCATTGTCGAAATGTTTAAGATGAGTTTACCATCAGCATCGAGTTTTCTACAATTGGCTTCCGACACTTTGAAATCTTTACGCTCGAGGACAGTAGGTTTCAACAGAACTCCGATCACCGTTCCACCATAAGTATCATGGAAAAACAATGCGTAATCCCCATAACCATCCTGAAAACGAAAAAGAAACGAACATATAGAATACAGAGCGCTTCAAACTATTTAGATTATTTAATATTTAAATCATGTGACACATTAATTTTTTTCTGGAGTACACAGTGTGCATCAATATAATTCAATAAAATTAAGTTATTTTTAATTGTTAACAATTTAAATAAATACACTTACTCTTAAATCTTTTAAGAAACGTTGTATAGGATCGAAGTCCACGACTGGAATTTTTTGAAGAGAATGAGTCTTATATGGATGTAAATCTACAATTTTTGCTTTGCTGGATGTATCGACTGCCTGCAGTCTTCTAGGAATCATACGTGACTTTAAATGCAGCAAACAATCATATTCCAAGAGCGGAGGACGGAATATAGGTTTTACATCTAGGACTGTATTATTGAACAATAAATCATCGAATAATTTCAGTGATTCCTTCGCGAATACACTCATACGATTTAAAACCAAATGCGATGGAGCTTTTCTAGTGCACAAGGTTTTCTGCTGATCGTAAGGAGTAGATATGAATAAAGGTGGAAGAGAACTGCGAGCTGTATTAAATAATGTTTCTATGGCAGCAATTTCTTCATCTGTAAAATATAACGTCATGTATTGATACATTTTTTACATAATAAGGTCAGAAGCTATAATATATAGTTTAAAATAAATATTTTCCGCTCGTTATCTTCTTTATATATCCTTACAGAAATCCAATTTAATGAAAGGTAGTGATTATTTATTATAGATATTAAAAATACTGAAAAGTGCTTTTAATATTTAAAATAAATAATTAATCATTATCTTCTAATTAAATTTCTGTAACGATATCTGGATAAAATCAATTTCGATTTTAATATCAATTGATTATTTCAATTAAATGATTATTTCGAAATTGCGAAAATTCAGTCGTATTAAGAAATGAGAAATATATTAAGATATTAATTTACTGGTCATCTCGCCGTTGAAATTAACAATCACGGAATCGGTGTTCCAATGAGCTCTCGCAACAATTTCCAGAAATCGTAGAAATGCTACTTGCGGCGTCTGAGCCGGCTTATATGGCTCTGGTGCTAGGTACAACGATGCCATGAGCAATTCAACTACAATTTCAGGTATATGAGTGTCGTCCAACAGTTGCGCCGATAACCAACGTTTCGCCAAACAGTTAGCGGGACCGAATGACGGTTGCTGAGAATGCAATCTGAAAGAATGAGAATTGAGACTGTAATATATACTATTCATTTTTTTCTTTATTATATATGATTCATCTCATATGAATTATATTATGGAGGCATATCTCTTATTTAATCTTCAATACTCTAAATTTTGTATTTTGTATAATGATATATGAAATCTTAGATTTATTAAAGAATGATTTTTATATCAATCATCTTTAGAGGTAATTATTAATTATAGTAACGTTTCTTGTATCATGCAGTCTAGAGATATCTGCTGACAATCAAATCCGAAACAAATTCTAATTTAAGAAAAAGTATTACTTTCAAAATAAAAGATATGTTCTTAAGTTTTAAATATATGAATTATCCTAACAAGAATTACATTCATCAATTCTTACCCATGCAAGGCGCTGCTCAATTTCGGTAAATGAAATAATTTGTTTTCTAATTCAATGGATTCTTCATTGTCCCTGTATTTAATCACTCCGTCTTCCTTAACTTGTTTCATTAAAGCAATTTCTTTCTGATGTGCCACTCTTAATCGAAAAACGAACCCATTCTAATAAAAAGATATAATTTTATATTCTCTATCAAAAGAGGAATATGTAATTTAAATGCAATATTATTAAGGATATTTATAATACAATGTTACTATTAGAAATATTACAGTATTAAAATAATCTATTAACCTGATAAACATCTATATACGAAGGATTCGCCTGTACTGTCAATGCATGCTGCGTCCTGAGGCATTCCGCGATTTGTATGTGAAACGCGGCCTTCGTCTTCCTAATGGCTTCCAATTCCTCAGGCCATTTCCCACTAGTTGACAACTGTAATGTCGCTTCGAGCGCGTGAACATATGTAGGGCATTTTGTGATGTTCTTTGAGAGGCTCAGGCAATTTTTGTTTTCCTCGGTGATACCATCGATCTTGCGATGAACTGTAGCAAGCGGTGGAAAGATTTCGGCATATCGGAAAACCGGGCTCGAGCCTTGCACACCGTTTATTGTCAAAGGCATATCGTTCAAAGACATCAAATTCTTCTCTAAGGTATTGAAAGCTTGCAAAACCTTCAATGTAGCTTCTTCACCGGTCCCGTACACAAAGTGCGTTATTTTATACTAAATAAAAGTACATAATCATAAAGTATAAAATTTAAAGAAAATAGTGGTAATTAAGAATAAAGCATTTTAACAAATGAATATGTTAATATTCATAAAGTTACCTTGTGCAATTTTAGCAAATCTTCCATTTGATTTGCGACGTATAAATATTGATTTTTGAAGATATTGAACTTTGTTTCTAATAGAAATACTATTATCTTCCTGCATATCATTCTCTTGTCTGCGAGAGTTTTACCTTTTGACCAAATCACAGCCTCACGAATGGCTCCATCTTTAAATCTACGTAATTCAGACTTGTCGCCCCAAAAATTTCTGAAGTCAACTGCCTGCAAAATAAAATACAAAGTTTTATATTTTATAGCATATTGTAAATATTAATTTTAAAAGTATTATTATATACTATTACTTTAAATAATAATTGTTGCATTCTTTATTTTAAGACGTTATTTCAATGACTTGCTTACTTCTGGTAAATTCGCTTCAGGTCCTTTATCCACGATATCGAAACATGTTTCAGGATTCAATTCTAGTCCAATAACAAGCTTTTCAATATTATCTGACACCTCCTCGGTGCATTCCCATTCCTTACATACATTGGGTAGCACGCACAATCGATTAATTCTATCTCCTAGACCTCTCTTCAGAACATCAAAAAGTAATTTAATCGCCTGAGTACGTTTGTCAGGTCCATAATTTAGTTTGTTATCCACGGTAGATTTGGCATTCACTGTTATCTCTAAAAAGGATTTATCCCGAAAACTACACATGTAAAAATGACAAAAGTTAAAATTAAAATAGATCTGACGTTTTTCAATACAATTTATATCAATCTGTGAATTACCATAAAATGTGATCAAATGCTATATGAAATGGCACGTTTCGCATGAAAAGTGCATGAAAGCTATCGACGTGTATATTGTCTACATGTTTCAGGCATAGCGCCGCTTCTCTCTGTACCCATGAAAAAGTGTCTTTCGATAGATTTGCAGCAAAATTACAATATCCGCTTGTATCAAGAAAGACACAATCGTAGTATTTGTGATAATGGGATACTTGATTCTGATTATTCTTGTCTTCACACATGGTAATTCCACTCTCGTACCAATTTCCCTGTGCTATTTCAAATAAAAGCAATTACTATCTCGGATAACACAAAAAAATAATGTAATTAATAACTTTTCAAGATACCTAAGCAAATCCATACATTCCGTATAATCTGAAAACTGCTCATAAAAGTGTTCAGCTTTTTCTCGCGCAGTAAATAGATTACTAACATAGTAATGATGTGGCTAGTGAAGCCGTCATATCCCTTATTTAATTCACGTTGGCGCAACCATATTTTCAGTAAAATTATACCGTCCCTCAAATTTGGATACTCTTTTATTGCTTGTGCAACTTCGGAATTTGTTCTCAACATTATCAAGTCATGCAATACCAGAGAGTTATAATGTGGAGTGGGAGGTAAAGACTTTGCTGTAGGCAAAGTAACACAATATAAAAAATATGATATTTTATAGTATAAAATTTTACACTAATTTTCTCTAATTTTCATTTAAAATATAAATCTATAAATCATCAAACTTACCGTCTTCCAAAGAACTGCTTTCCTTGTTGTTGAAATACCATCCTGGCCTAACACTATTTTTCTCTGGCAGAAATCTATTTAGCTTAAAACTACTTTGCTGCGCAGATATGTGTATCATTATGTCTACCTTTTTGTTCAACTTTCCACTGGGCCGAAGCTTCAAGGAAGGTCTTAGATTGTCACCGATAAATTTCTTAGTCTCGGCGATATCGCTTCCTATATTCGAAGCTACGAACGCCAAATATGTCGCTTTCTTTCTAAAATACACATAGTTCTGATAATCCTGCTTCCGGAATGAACTGGTTGGCATCTCCACCATTATGTCCACGGTAACAGTGGATCCGAGAATACATCCTGAATTATAAGATCCAACCACACTAATGTTGGATGGCTTCAAGAATTTAAAAACACTCTTAGTTTTTTTTGGTATGTTTGGCACAGGAATGCAAATACCTAATTTATCACTCAAATTATTATCTACAAGCTGAAATACATTAATAAATTAGACATATTTTATTGCCTCTTATATCTTACAGTTCAGATGTATTGCTTACCGGAACTTCTTCAGTCTCTTCGATAGATTCAATTGCTGCTTTCAACTTCCCAAACCAAATCTCAAATAACGCTTTATATTTATTTTTGAGTCTCACTTCGTTCAGAACCTCTTCGATTTGAAGTCGAAACAAATTTGAATGAAATAAATTCTCAGTTTCCCTAAGCTGACTGAGTTCTTCGACCGTTGGTTGCTTGTAAAGATTTTTTTCTAACTTTTTCTTTTTCTTAGGTGCTATCTCGATTAATTCATCTGTAACTTTCTTCCTCTTCTTTTCTTGATTTTCTGTGAGATATTCAATCTCTTGACTGTCCAATTCTATTTCTTCCTCTTCATCATCTTGTATTGAATCCGCATTGTCAGATTCAAGATCTTCGTCATCGTTCTCTTCTCCCATCAAATCTGCATTATCAGAGTCTACTGAATTCTCTTCATCAATCTCTGAATTTATTGTACTTTCATTATCGGATTCAGAATTCATCGAATCTTCATTTTCGACAGTATTCTCAGCCTTGTATCTATTGTGCTTCACTTTGCTCAACTGAAATTATTTATCAAATATCTTTTTTTCATTTTTTTTTCTGCAGAAGCATTATTATACATCAAGTAAAGAATATTTCTAAATTTTAATGTATGCATATAAGTACACTAGTATTTGAATTAATATACTGATTTAAAATAATATATAAAATTATAATATAAATAATATATTAAACAATATATAAAATTTATAAATTATTTTAAACAAATTAAATTTTAAAAATTATATATCAAGGAATAATAGGTCTATTTTTTATTGTCTATTTTATTCTTTGACTAAACTGAACTAAAATTCTTTTTCGTTTTCAATATATGTATATATACATAAGTACATTAGATAAATATACAGTATATAACACTTCTACCTTCGATTTTCCTGTAATTTCGTAAATTTGTGTATTTTCATGCACAGAATATATTCCAAGTGATGATTTTCCTTCTCGGAATAAATTCTACGCCTGAAAATACACAAACGTACAAAATTACATAAAAATTAGAGGTGAGAGTATTACTTATACTGCATATTTAACATATCAAAATTTAGATATGACACAAAAGTAATTTTTAATTAATCACTGTATACAAACGTAACATTTTTTGAGAGGTTATAAGAGTTAGAAACACAATTTGATGCTTCACCAAATAAATAAAATACAGTAATAAAATTTGGTATACTCTCGAAGGTACCTTCATTTTCCTTCTGCTATTGTATGATTCAAAAGCAGTTTTTAATTTTTATTGAGCTTTACGTTGCAAAACACACCGGCTAGACACACCACATGCTCGACACGCCTTCCAATAGTTCCAATATTTCCCAGAACATTCTTTTTCTTCTTAAAATCCCCTGCATGGTTTTTCGACCCTATTCCCCAGAAATTCGGTCTGACCACGTGACCAAAATTACTCGTTGCAACAACGACATCTGTTCTCCATTTTTGTCTCCTAAAACTCACGTTTCTTCGTCGGTATACCATTGTTGGATGAACAAGCTTTTACCAATTAACATCTGGAAAATAATATCTCGTATCGCGTATAATTAATCCTAGAGACCGATGGAAACATATGTAAAATATATCGTGTAAGAAGCGTAATCAACGCGAAACCCTCGTTCCAATTAGAAACGCACCGTTCCGCGAAGTAATTGCAATGCAGATTCACAATGCGTTCCATTCTGCTTTTCCGGTAAAAGTCGTTGCATAACGGTCAGTCGGTTCATCGCGTAGCTCTCACTTTCATTTCGTCATTCTGACGCCTCGTTATCTCGCCCAGAAGTAAGAAAATGGATTTTCAAGAATTTTCCAGCGCGACGAGAGTTATCGACGGATGACGATCCGCTGCACCCCGCGCGGTCGTGTCGACGGCGGTGTCAATGACAGCTGGACGCGATGACGACAGTCAATGGCGTACGCGCAAGGTAGATGCACCTGTGTCGATCTGTCGATGTGTCAGAGGCAGAGTCTCGACGTTAGATCACCGTGACGCCGAGTAATACGGGTGCCGTCGTGCGATCCCTACGGATGTGCTGCCAATCCTAGGAGTGGCCCGCGAAGCGAATCGAGCTGAATCCAGGGAGTCGCGGCACCGGAGAACCGTATGTGCTGTTTAACGTGGATGTTTATGGCTGGCATGTTAAATGGCAATGAACATGGAAGTGGCGGAGGCGTCCGAGCTGACGTCCGACGCCCGTCTCTCGACGTCGGCGGACT